ATACAGTTATTAAAGAATGAAAGTATTATAGCTTGTAAGCTTATTCCCCCATATTTTGCGTTGAGGTTTTTTGCATTTTCGGAAAAAAACAATATTTTCGTAGGTTATCTTGCTGCTGTCAGTAGTAAACTATTTACCGTTTGGAGGAGAGAACTCAATATAGAGAGGAAGCTAAAGGCTTTTTACAATGTTGGTGCTGCACAGTTTGTACTTTTTAGCTTTTTTGGGGCTGAAAAAATTTAATTAATCATCTGGCCATAAATACTTGCCCACCTAGCGATTTGTAGCAGAAGAATTTCCCATTATAATACAATACAAATAAATAATCACGCCCCCAGCGGTCTTCTTGTAAGAATTTTGCATTCAATTGACTTTCAATAAATACATAATTGATGTCAAAGAGAAATTTAAACAGTACATTTACTTTCGATTACATATGTAAAAAACACAAAGGAAGGTGGAAAACAACCACAAATTATACGAAATATGTACAGTAAAGAATCGCTAATTCGAACTATTAATTGAAATTCCAATTTAGATCTCTAATTGGTTTTAAAAATTATGTAATAAAAGCACAAGATGCAATAGGAAATTATATACGTTTCACATTGAAGTATTTAATAACAAAACTCAGCACAATGCGCGCCGAAAAATTCGAGAGAAAGATTGGCTAGGCAATTAACAAAATTTGTGAATGAAAAATGTTTTTCTTTTATTTATTTTTATTGTAACATGCGCCACTACGCATTGGTTGGTTAGCTTCCCTCTAGTAAAATGAACTAGTTGTAAACTACCCCACAACTAGTATGAACCGCATGCCCAACTAGCCAGCCAACTATCTGCTTTCCAATCAAGCAACTGGTATTTTTAACTGGGGATGTCCTACAAGATGGCAATTGTCAGATTTCGGTCAGAAATATACCAGTCTCATACTAGTTCAAAATAGACAGAAAAATACTAGTCCAATTATGGACCAAAACCACTACTTTGGGAGTAAAAAAGTAAATTAAATTCATGAATATACAATAAAAGAATTCTTACATGACTTTCTTGTGCTTGTTTCTATACAAGTGCCAAAGTTCAATGGTCAATTTTTTTATTAAATGTAACTATTGAGGTATACAAATTAGGGTGGGCCGATTTGTTCTTAGAAAAATATAACCGACTTTGTTTCGGCGACTGAAGTATTCTACTCGTTATGCTGAACAAAAAATTCCATTGATACATTCAATGCCAGTCAAAAGTGCATGAATGGCGTTTCGTTTTTAATATTTACAGCTTTTTTCATGCTATATTTTTTTTTTTTTTTGGTATTCTTTATAGAAAGCATGGTTCATGCTTTAACGAAAACCATATTTTTCATATAAATAGCAAAATTTAGTAAAACTGGCTTTGACTTTTTTATTGTTTGTTCGCAAACGGTCTTGCGCATATTCTTCCACAAGAAATCCATGTTTATATAGAAAAAAAAGCAAAACGCAGTCAACAAAAAAAAAATTATAAATCAATGCCAAAAATTTACAAAAAATTTGGCTTAAAAGCTCGAAACTTAGATACAAATTTATGGAATTTTTCTTAATTCTGTATAAAGTTTGAAAGCTTGATTTATGTGGTTTTTGTTAAAGCATGTACCATATTTTTATAAAAAAAATATCAAACAATTTTAGCTTCAAAAACATTACATATGTATATTCAAACGAAACACCATTCATCCACCTTTGACCGGCACTGTAGCTCTAAAATAGTTTTCAAAACTCCTTACTTACTTTTTTTTAGAAAATGTTTATATGCAGATTTTGCATTCGAGCAATTGGTCGAATTTTTCAAAGCGAAGAATTTGACACTGTACGATTTAATTTCGTGTTATGGCGAAGTAACGAATGCTAGCGAAAATAACGGTATGACAAAGGCCCAGAAAAATGGAAACAGTTTTGTTGATGCAAATGGTTAAACTGTTTTTGATAGGTTCTTTTTTGTACTGATTCCGAATCCATAGGTATACTCACTAGTGACATGCTATTTTTTAAATAGATATACACACATATATTTAGTCACACGCTGCTTAACACTCGAGCTATACTCGAATTTAATTTAGATTGCAGAAGAGCCAATCCTACGAAAACATCCACTTAAACTATATACTCGATTTTCCTTTTACAGATTGGCTATATTATCGAGTTTCGACTGCATTAGCTATTATGCAAAACATACAAAAACCACAAAAGCAATTATATTTGCAATACAACATATGTGCTTGCCTGCTAATGCCATTTCAAAGAAAATCGTCTGTCGTCTTTTCATGCCTTTGTCGTTTAATTAACTAAAGAATTGCTTTCTTAAATAGTTTATTGCAGTTTGTGACGCTTGAATGAGTTCTCATTCCAGCAAATTGCCAAAAGGCAAGCAGGAAAGAAATTATGAAGATGTGCATAAAAGAAACAGAGGCATTACAGCAGAGAAAATAAAAAGTATGTATGTATGTATGTATGTAGATGCGCTGGTATAAGACAGATATGGTAGGGTGGGTTGATATTTGCTTTCCACAGCCTGGTATTGCCATCATATGCTTTAGGCCATTTTTGAAAACATGTTACGGAATATTTCATCTTTTGTTTGCTTTTATGTTTTTGTGTTAAAAGCCTTCTTTCCGCAATTAATATTTAAGCACAATACACATACATATGTACATGCTTATATGGATGCAGAAATATGCGTTAGAATATACGTATGTATTTTTACTTGTGTTTGCATGTAGTTGATGATGTGTACAACAGAATCCCTTTCAACTTTTGTTCTTCAATTTGTATCGTATATATTGCTCATACGCCATGACACACTGAAAGGCTCAATCGATTCAGTGCAGATGCTTTGATTGGCAAGCTAATCCGTCTTCTTGTGCGGTCATCTATAGATAAGTACATGAAAGTATTTTTTAATATTTGAGCCCTTGATTTTGAAAGTGGTATAAGTCACTTCCCAGCTCTTGAACTTAAATGATCGGTTACTGGTATCTGAACGCGTCGGTTATTCGTTCAACTTCATCAACCATTGGTAGAAGGTTTTGTCATTAGTTTACGACGATAGAACGATTTGCAGATGTACTCGGTTACAAGTAACCGGTCATTTAAGCGCAAGAGCTGGGAAGTGACTTATACCACTTTCAAAATCAAGGGCTCATTTATGTTTTCATGTATCTCACACATATACATTGCATTAACGTGAATTGCTGCGCAGCTAAATTAATCCTCCATTGCACAGCATTGAAATTCTTCTTTTCATCACTTAACGTACATAGTTACATAAGTTGAAAGCTTTTCGAACTTAATCTTTTGACAGCAGATTAATTGTAATTGCGTCAATAATATAATTGCCTAGACATCAAAAAATTAATACTTTATTAGACTTTTTCAGCAGTTATATGTACATTAGGCTGATCCCAACTTCGGAGACCCGTAT